GGGATTCCTTAATGCTTAACCCCCCCAAAAGCTCCAGGGTTTTGCTGAAGCAATGCTCAGCACCACCATTAATAACTTTTGGAGGTCCAGCTGAAGGGAGGAGTATTAAATGCATAGCACTAGAACCCAGAACAGCTAAGGGAAAGAAGGGAAGTTAAGCTGGCTAACAGAAAACTCAGCGGAGGGAGAAGTGAGAGTGATGGTTTAGATGTACTATAGATCTGTGTATTGCTGGATGCTCACTTATGTTGCAAGGAGACCCACGTGCCGGGTCCCTTTGCAACACAACTCGAAGGTGCTTCTCCTGCATCTAAACCAGAGATTTCATCAGCAGTGGAAGTGGAAAAAAGTATTCACCAGCATAGGTGTTGCAACTACAGCAAGAACCATGGGCCACATGGACAACACAGGAATAGGGATCATCATCTCCTGCACTGTGAGGAAGTAGCTGTGTGGTACAGCAGAGCTCAGGCTCTCATCCTTGTTCTCAGAAGGTTTTGTGCAATGGTGTGACTAATTAACACTGCTTTGTTAAAGCACTCGCACAGTGACCTTTGTAACACCTGCTCAGTGCAGGACTGGTCCAGAAAACACGCTTCACTCCATGCTCAGCACCCAGTCTAGAAATGAATGGATGCAATTTCCATTCCTGTTAGTGGTGGTACATACCCAGCGTGTCCTTCAGGAGGAGGGGCAGAGACGACCACACAAATTTAGTGAGCCTTTCCCAAGAGGAAGGGCTCATCCCAATGAGTTCAGCTATCAGAACTGCATATTAATAAAACAAAAGAGAAAGACTGTTTCTGTAGAGGGCTGACCCAGGCACTGCTGAAGCTCAGACAGGTACTCAGCCTGCACTTCACGGCTGCATTTTTGTTTACAGCCATTTAGTCCATCTCTTTCATATAGAAGTCACTCAGTTTGATATGCAGACTTCAAATCTTGGGAGGGGTTGTGGCTACCTAATTAAGAAATAGGAGGAAAAGGCATCTGTCTGTGGTATTTGTAACTGTAAGTTCTCTGTTCAGCCCTCTCAAGGCAGTCAGGTTGTCTCAGGGAAGGTTCAGTATAGAAATATTCTCACCACCAAAATACAGATGACACTGAAGACCTAGACTGCCCAAAAAAGACACAAAGAAGTTGACCCATTTCCCCTTTGCAGATCAAGACTATGCATAGAGTTGTCATACAGGGTCACAGAAGTGTAAGGAAATAAGAGGGAGAATTTGCCTGAAGGCGATTTAAAGCTCAGGCAGGACTACGCTTTCCTGCTGAACCGAATAATCCTTCAAAAAACCCCCAGCATGAGTTGTCACATTCACTGACTCAGCTGTTTCTAAGTGATCTTTTACATGTTTGGATCGAAAAATCTAGGCATGAGGCACCTTTTCTAAAGATACCGGTGAGCAATTGTTGAGAGAGATGAGGATGGAGCAGTGCAAAGGATTCTCCAAGGGAAGGAAATTCCCCACTGCTTATGGGAGCATATGGAAATGTAAATTCCAGGTCGCTCACAGGTCAGGAAAGCTGGGGCAAAGCATACAGAAGACAATCTGCAAAACTCTCACTGAGCGCCTTAGGAAGAAAACGGAAGCTTCTTGATACCTGTATTTATGATCCGTGTGTGTCATGGTTGAAAACCAGTCAGCCACACAGTTTCTACCCCCCTCCTCAGCTTTCTTTCCTTCCCCCACCCTGAGGGATGCGGAGGAGAGCTGAAAGAATGCAACTCCCATGGGTTGAGATAAGAGCAGCCCAGTACCGAAGGCATAACACAAACCACTGCTGCTACCACCAGTAATAATAATGATAAGGGAAATAACAAGGGGAGAGAATACGATACCACCCGCTAAAAGGAGTCCGACCCAGCAGTGAGTGCCTGTCTGGGTAACTCCCAGTTACCTCCCCGGGCATGATGTGCTGTGGTATGGAATACCTCTTTGGTCAGTTTGGGTCAGGTGTCCTGTCTCTGCTTCCTCCCGGCTTCCCCTCCTCCCTGGCAGAGCATGAGGCTCACAAAGTCCTTGGCATCAGTGTTACCAGCTCTGCTCCCAGACCGAAAGTGTTATCAGTCCAAAACATCAGTGTTACCAGCTCTGCTCCCAGGCCGAAAGTGTTATCAGTCCAAAACATCAGTGTTACCAGCTCTGCTCCCAGGCCGAAAGTCAAACACAGCACTGCACCAGGTACCAAGAAGGAGAAGAAATGACTGCTACTGCTGAACCCAGGACAGTATGAAAAAAAAGGTGTTTATTCTGCTGAAGGCTTCCAGACATTGTTACCATACTCCTATTTAAGGCTTAGGAATTCTGCAGTCAGATACTGAATGCATTAGAAATTCAGCAGCTTTTCATTCACCTGCTTCACATCTCCAAAACTAGCTCCTTGCAACTAAATCAAAATGGGAGCTCCTCTCTTTCACCCAAATCACAAGGTTTACTATAGAACATGTGAACTTCTCATTTATACTTCATCCTTTCTGACTTCTCTCCGTAACCACAGAAGGGATGTTACCTCTGTTGACGATGGGTTTTTTGCAGGCCAGATTTTCCACTCACTACCTCTCAAATTACACATCAAAACATGGCCTCCCCAGCTCTGCTCAGTTGTTCCCACTGCTCCATATCAAGATCTGTTATAGTGTAATCGTAGTGTCATCTATGATAGATGTATGACACCTAAGCAGTAATTTTAGCTTAAATAATTTCATCATTAATGAAATCAAAGACAAATACCAGTTTCTTGTGTTTATTTAGAAACTCTCCTCAGGCATAGCAATTCATACTTCCCTACTGTCCTTGTTCACAGGCCAGAAGGCATTTCCACTGATACACTAGTTTGCATTTCTGTAAAGAGTTGGCTGTACATGGAAATAGTGAGCCAAGGGGAAATAAAAAGACCAGAGACAGGAATGAACAACCTTGCTACTGCCAGGCAACACGACATTTTGTAAGAAGATGTCAGCTTGGAGATATCGGAGCAATCCCAGGCACAGCTACAGGCTGGGCAGAGAAGAGATTCAGAGCAGCCCTGCAGAGAAGGACTTGGGGGTGTTGGTTGATGAGAAAATGAACATGAACCGGCTTCAGTGTGTGCTCGCAGCCCAGAAAGGCAACCATATCCTGGGCTGCATCAAAAGGAGAGTGACCAGCAGGTCGAAGGAGGTGATCCTGCCCCTCTACTCTGCTCTTGTGAGACCTCACCTGAAGTATTGTGTGCAGTTCTGGTGTCCTCAACATAAAAAGGACATGGATCTGTTGGAACAAGTCCAGAGGAGGGCCACGAGGGACTGGAGCACCTCCTGTATGAAGACAGGCTGAGAAAGTTGGGACTGTTCAGCCTGGAGAAGAGAAGGCTGCGTGGAGACCTCATAGCAGCCTTCCAGTATCTGAAGGGGGCCTATAGGGATGCTGGGGAGGGACTCTTCATTAGGGACTGTAGTGATAGGACAAGGGGTAATGGGTTAAAACTTAAACAGGGGAAGTTTAGATTGGATATAAGGAGGAAATTTTTTCCTGTGAGGGTGGTGAGGCACTGGAATGGGTTGCCCAGGGAGGTTGTGAATGCTCCATGGCTGGCGGTGTTGAAGGCCAGGTTGGACAGAGCCTTGGGTGACACGGTTTAGTGTGAGGTGTCCCTGCCCATGACAGGGGGGTTGGAACTGAATGATCTTACAGTCCTTTCCAACCCTAACTATTCTATGATTCTGTGTGATAAAGGTCTACATAATTCTGAAGGAGGTGGAACTCAGCGATAATGATCAATATCTGCTTCTTGATTTCCTGTAAAAGAATCAAGAGGCATCAAATGAAACCAGGCTTGGAGTGGGACACTATGGGTAAGTCTCAAAGACACTTGATCTTTCCCCATACACCTGCTGGTGGTCATGACTGAAGAGAAGATACCCACTAGTCAGACCTCTGCCTTGATACAGGAGGGCTGTCATTAAGGGCTTATCTGCTCACATTTGCTGCTCCAGCTATGTTCACTGCAAGTCCTCCAAGGCTGTTTATAAACCTAATTGTGTAAAACTCCAGACACTCATCTGTACAGTAAGGTTGTGTGGGATTCAGCCTGGCACACAGAGCCAGCCCCCTGTGTCCTTTGTGGTGAGTCAGAGAATAATAAACCTACATTCATTCCTACCTGGTCCTATGCTTTCTTCCTTCGACTGTCTCCATTAGCTGGTGGAACGACAAGAATGGATTTCCTTGTGTTTTAGTTTTATTTTCTGTTGTTAATAAAAATGGCTGTACATCTCTGACTTGATGCGAATAAACCTTCTTCATGATCTTTTCCTTTAATTTGATCAAAATCAGAAGAAATCTCTTTACAGGATCAAATTTCAATATGCAGAAGTGCCTCAATTTATTGCAGAAGCAGAATCCTCCAGCAGCTTTTACAATTTCCCTCTGCCCAAATTGAAAGCAGCAAACAGTCAAGAAGCTTTGGCTTCAGAAGAAGCAGTCATCCTCAAAAACCCTCCATCTGATTAGGCAAAGCAATTTATCATACCATGATAATAGTTCTCAATATGTGTCAGTCTGGATTCTGTGGCTTGTTTCAGTGATGCTAGGTTTAAGGTATCCAAAAATACTGTTTCTGCAGAAGTTAGCATATAAGAAAGATTTATTTTTTTAATGTAATTGCATATAAGCACAAGGGAAGGTCGTTAAAATCCAGTTCTAGTGCCTATCATTTCCACAAAGTGCTAGCTCCTCCTTCTATTGTGTTTTAAAATGAAAAGAAATCAAAGCCCAAAGACACAGATGGAAAGTCACAGAATGAATTCCTTCTACTGGAAATGGAAGGTCACAAGTACGATAATAATAACATCAAAGGGACAAAGATACAGAAGAAAATAATGACAAGAAATCAGAGTATTACAACCCCCCCCTCTAGATTCCAGAGAGCTAAGTCCAGTGCAACTGTGTACAGAGTCTGTGTTTTTCTGTTTATTTCATTGATTGTGTTTTCTGTTAATGAAAAGCAGTTTCATGGTCATCTGGGGCAAGGGGCTTGCCCACTCACCCGTGACTCACGGCACAGCAGCATGTTACAGGTTTGGAGTTTCCATTGGCATGACCCATGTGTGCCAGGGAGGCTGAGGCAGTATAAAACCCATCAGGTCCCAAGGCACCAGCACTGGCCACCTTTGGGACTCACCTCAGCACAGCACCAGACCTCTGGAACACAAGAGAGAAACACTCTTGCATCATGACAGGCAAGGCTGTGGCTGTGGTCCTGATCCTTCTCTTCATATCAGCAGTGGGAACAAAAGGTACAGAAATCCTTTCTAAAGCTCTCCTAATTGCAAGTGCAAATGCTGATGGCAGAGGTACTGCGCTGTGAAGCAATAACTCCCCTAAACTGCAAGCAAAAGAACACGCCCTGACAGAGGCTGCCCAAAGAAGTGGTGGAAGTTCCCTGGCAGTGTTCAAGGCCAGGCTGGACAGAGCCTTGGGTGACATGGTCTAGTGTGAGGCGTCCCTGCCCATGGCAGGGGGTTGGAATTGGGTGATCTTAAGGTCCCTTCCAACCCAAACCATTCTGTGACTCCATGTTTCTCTGCTGTGGAAAGAGGAAAAGAGTGCACCTTATTTTTCCTTCTTGTTTTGCAGGTAAGGCCCTTCCACGCTCAGCAATGGAGCTCCGGTGCCAGTGCATAGGCACTCATTCCAAGTTCATCCATCCCAAGTTCATTCACAATGTGAACCTCATCCCCAGCGGACCTCACTGCAAGAACGTCGAAGTCATGTAAGTGCTTTTGCAATATCCTCCCAATTACTTAACAAGAAGGACCACATTTTGCACTCAGGGTGATGTAAGAGTTCACTGACAGATGGAGTGAGCCTGTGGGCAGCTGCTCAGGATGCAGACCAGCAAGGCTGTTGCTGTGACAGACAGCACACTACGTGTTAGAAAGCCTGTCTTGTCTTGACAACTCCACTTTTCAAACACCCCATGCAAACATTGCAACCTAAGCTCATATCAGACAGCAAAGAGCTTCCTAAGACTCTGAATTTCACCAGCAGATGAGACATTAATTTCATGCATGAGCCATGCTGAGTGATCAAAACATGAATGTGATGGCCAGGTCAAATCAAGTGATCACAGTTCTACTCGTCAGTGAAAAAAATCCCTTGGCACACAGATATATAATCCAGTCACAATTCCAGAAATCGTGTTGTAGCAAAATTCCTGTGGCCTGGGCAGTACAGTTTGTGAATGAGGATGGAAAGATTTAACCCTTGAGTTAAGTACCATCACAAGCTGGGGAAAGGGGACGGGGGAAAGAATTGGTTTTGGAAAGCATGAGAGTCCTGAAGTGGTTTAATGCATTCAAACAGGTATGGGAAGATATGAAACCTTTAGAGAAAAAACCCAAAACCTTTATGTTAGGCTACTTCAGCTTGAAGTAAAGAAAATGTCAGTGTACACCTAGAAAAGGGAAATTGCCTTGGACTTCCCTAAACAGACCTGACCTTTTCCCTTCCTCCTTTCTCTGTTGCAGAGCTACCCTGACGGATGGCCGGGAAGTCTGCCTGGAGCCCACCGCTCCCTGGGTGAAGCTCATCATCAAGGCAATCCTAGACAAGTGAGTTCCCTGTTCTCAGTGAGCATGGCTTATCCAAAAGCAGTGTTCTAGTTGAGCCACCAAACGTGCAGTGTAAAGTTCTCACAGACTCAGTCTCCTCAGGCAGCTACTGATGTTTCTGGTCGCTAATGGGATAAACTCAGATTGTTTCGATCCTTAATCATCAGCGTGAGGTTGGATCCCTTATACCCCTCCCCATGTGAACAGCAGCTACACCTCTTGTAAGGTGCAAGCACATTGAAAACCTGCAGCTTGAGTGCTCAGGAAAACCAGGCATTAACTGAGGGGTTTTCTCTTGCTTGCTATGGTAGAAAGCAAGGAACAGCATTGAGATGAGTGGGGGAAACCAGGCCCACAAGGTCCCAAGAGAAGCCGTGGAAGCCCCCAGTCACTGAGGACTTGTGGAAAGGTCACAACGTACCAGCAGCCGTTAGGTTGTTACAGCTTTTAAGGGGCTTGGACACAGAAGCACAAACCCTTAGTGGTGGATCTCCTCTTATTCCAGGGAGTGGTGCCTGTTCCACAGGCAAGTTCTAATTGTCTCCTTTTCCATTTTCTTTCTTTCTAGGGCAAACGCCAAACCTGAGACAGTGTCCTAAGACAAAGAAGACAAAACGTCCTAACTCCTGCAGCAAGGCAAAAAAGAGATGGAGATGCCCATCCAGCTTCTGGCAGCTCACCTCCTCCTGCTGCCTATATTCACACTTCTAACAGCACCAAGAGCGTATGGATTCCCTGGATTTAGAATCACAAAATCACAGAATGGTTTGAGTTGGAAGGGACCTTCAAAGGTCGTCTAGTTCCAACCCCTCTGCAATAAGCAGGGACCTCTTGAGCTAGATCAGGTTTCGTAGTTAGTTCACAACAGTACTGAAGTATTTTACAGAGGTCACATTATGTAGGAGAGGAATCACTGACACCAGAAAAAGCAGGCAGAAGAAATGGTTTGTGAAAGGATATGGAGAGATCCTGGAATGAGTTTTGGTAAACACAGCTGGTTCAGTGCAGAGCTTTCGCTAAACGACACCTTCCCTTTCTGCTGTTTAGGAAAAGAACAGCACCTAACTCCTTCTCTCCAGGAAAGCATCGATAGGGGAGCATCAAGTTTAGGTCACTGCTGCTCAACCTTTTTGCTCAGAGCAGACTACTGATCGAAAGAGGGAGCCGGCAGAGTTAGGACATAAAAATCCTGAGATACTGGGGCTTGTGTCATCATATTCAAGATATTATTTATTGTGAATTACTGTTGTGAAGGTCTAAAGATACATTTTAATGCCATCTTTTGCTTAGAAAGAGGCACGTTATTTATTTATTTATATATTTATTTTTACTTTTGCATAAGGATGTCATTATTTATTCATGCAGAACATATTTGATATGTGCCTAATAAATGTTTGTGGAGATGTTTTCACTTCAGTTCTGTGTGTTACGAATTTCTGTATTAAAATACAGAACGGAAAAAAAGGATGTATTTTCTTTCATCCACCATGGGATGGGTTCCCCAAAGGGCAAGGGGTGGTTTATTGCAACAGTAAATTACTGCCTCTGGTGTATTCAGATGGTTTCCAGTAGGAGGAATTATAAAAATTATCTGCTTTCTTCCTCTTTTCTTGTCAGACTTGGTGTTTTCAGGGCTCTGGGTGATAAAATTCACAGATAGAAAGTAATAAATGACTAATGGTTAGTCACAGAAGCTCCAAGGCCATAGAGGTGGAGGTGCTCAGACAGCTCGTCAGCTGAGAACCTGGCACTGAACAAGGTTTTTCCTTCACCTGAATAAGCAGGAAAATCTGATAAACATGATGGAAGTCACTGAGCATCCTCCGAATTGCAGTGAGGAGGGAGGACTGCATCAGGAGGAAGCCTGACTGTATGGACACACATTTGCCTGTGATACAGCGCTTTCCAAGGGACAGACTGGAACAGAAGCAGTGAACACTTGAGAAAATGGGAAAGTTGAGCAAATGTTTTGGCATTTGTTTTGCCTTTTCCACTAAGGATCCACTTCATGTTCTGCACAAACAGCTCATGCTTGCTAACAGTGCAAGGTAAAAAGGAAGGCTCTGTTTTTTGTTTGAGCAAGACCTTGTGCAGGATGGTAACTGATAATTATTCAAACCCCACTTTGCCCCCTGTCCCTATCGCTGCCACAGTCCCACAGAACTGCTCTACAACATGATAAACCTCAACCTTGGCATGGACAGGATTTTTCCAGACCATTAATTAGAAGCAAACCTGTGGATCTTTTTATCACTTTTTAAAGAGAAATACTATTTCCTTCAGTTTTAACTGAAATAATCACAGAATCACAGAATCCCAAGGGTTGGAAGGGACCTCAAAAGATCATCTAGTCCAACCCCCCTGCAAGAGCAGGGTAACCTAGAGTACATCACACAGGAACTTGTCCAGGCGGGCCTTGAATATCTCCAACGTAGGAGACTCCACAACCCCCCTGGGCAACTCGTTCCAGTGCTCTGTCACTCTCACAGTAAAGAAGTTCTTCCTGATGTTAACGTGGAACCTTCTATGCTCCAGTTTACACTCATTGCCCCTTGTCCTATCACTGGATATCACTGAAAAAAGCCTAGCTCCATCATCCTGACACCCACCCGTTACATATTTGTAAACACTGATGAGGTCACCCCTCAGTCTCCTCCAAGCTGAAGAGACCCAGCTCCTTCAGCCTCTCCTCATAAGGGAGGTGTTCCACTCCCTTAATCATCTTTGTGGCTCTGCGCTGGACTCTTTCAAGCAATTCCCTGTCCTTCTTGAACTGAGGGGCCCAGAACCGGATGCAATATTCCAGATGAGGTCTCACCAGGGCAGAGTAGAGGGGGAGGAGAACCTCTCTTGACCTACTAACCACCCCCCTTCTAATGCACCCTAGGATGCCATTGGCCTTCTTGGCCACAAAGGCACATTGCTGGCTCATGGTCATCCTCCTATCCACCAGGACCCCCAGGTCCCTTTCCCCTTCACTACTTTCCAGCAGGTCAACCCCCAACCTGTACTGGTACATGGGGTTGTTCTTCCCCAGGTGCAAGACTCTACACTTGCCCTTGTTGAATTTCATCAAATTTCTCCCCGCCCAACTCTCTAGCCTATCCAGGTCTCACTGGATGGCAGCACAGCCTTCTGGTGTGTCAGCCACTCCTCCCAGTTTAGTGTCATCAGCAAACTTGCTGAGGGTACACTCAGTTCCCTCATCCAGGTTGCTGATGAAAATATTAAACAGCACTGGTCCCAGCACCGACCCCTGAGGTACTCCACTAGTCACAGACCTCTAGATCGATTCTGCCCCATTGACTACAACTCTCTGCCTTCTTCCCTTCAAGCAGCTCTTGATCCACTTCACTACCTGATCATCAAGCCCACACTTCCTTAGCTTACCTATAAGGATGCTGTGGGAGATAGTATCAAATGCCCTACTGAAATCAAGAAAAACCACATCTACTGCTCTACCATCATCCATCCACCTAGTTACTTCCTCATAGAAGGCTATAAGGTTGGTCAAACATGACTTCCCCTTAGTAAAACCATGTCGGCTGCTCTTAATGACCGCCTCATCCTTGATAGGTCTAGAGATGGTGTCAAGAATAAGTTGTTCCATCACCTTTCCAGGGACGGAGGTAAGGCTAACTGGTCTATAATTACCCGGGTCCTCCTTCTTGCCCTTCTTATAGACTGGTGTGACATTTGCCATCCTCCAGTCCTCAGGCACCTCTCCCGTTTCTCACGACTTACCAAAGATGATGGAGAGTGGCCCAGCAATGACCTCCGCCAGCTCCCTCATCACCCGCAGGTGTATTCGATCCAGATCCATCAATTTATAGATGTCCAGACTGCTTAACTGATCCCTAACCCAATCCTCATCTACCAAAGCAAACTCCTCCTTTGTCCTGACTCCTTCTGGGGCTACAGGAATCTTGGGCCTCCAGGGAGAGTCTGCAGGAGTAAAGACAGAGGCAAAGAAGGCATTCAGCACCTCTGCCTTCTTTATATCGTCTGTCTCCAGGGCACCCACTGCATTCAAGTGGGCCTCTTGTGTTAGTTTTATCCGCTATGTATTTGAAAAAGCCCTTTCTGTTGTCCTTAACCCAACCTGCAAGATCAAGTTCCAAGGAGGCCTTAGCTGTCCTAATTGCCCCCCTACATCCTCTAACAACTGTCCTATATTCCTCCCAAGTGGTCAGCCCCTCCTTCCATAATCCATAGATTAAATTATTAAATAATGCAGCTTTTTTGACTGGTTTACTTTGCAAAGAGCACGCTCAGACCAAGGTGGTACTGAGAGCACATTAGCAGCTCTCACAGTAGCAGCTGGTAATGAAAAATGCCTGATAAACACAGTTTTGCTCCCTAAGGCTAAACCCCAAATTGCTATTTCAGGTTTAAATTTGTGTCTCTGCAGACAGCCTATAATTGCACTGACACAGAAGACTAATAACTCATGAACATGATGGCAGGGGATTGGTACCGAATGAGCTTTAATATTCTTTCCAACCCAAACCATTCAGTGATCCTATGGCTCTATGAACATGAGCTCTTTACCAATTTGCTCAGCCTAAGTAGAAGAGAAAACTCTTCCATTGCATTATTTCATACCCCCCAGGTGGGAGGAATGGTAAGAACAATTTTTACTGAGAAATACAATAAAGCAGAAAACAAGAGGTATGTTTCTACCAAACTTCTATTCTCATTAATTTTCAGTCTGACACAGAAACTTTTGCAGCAGGAAGATTGCATATGGGTTACACTATAGCAAAGCCTTGCCCTATTTGCTTTGCACCAGACCTATACCTTAGCACTCTTTTCCCTACAAAATAACAATGGACTGTTTGGTAACAGCTATGTTTGCTGTTTAAACAACCTTTCCTACATGATCACCTACTTTCAAACCCTCTGAAGGCAAGTTGGGTACTTAAAGGGTGGGTGGCTGTTGCTAAGGAGAAAGACTTCCCTAGTGCTCTTCTTCAGTGGGTATGCTATGGCAAAGCCTGCAATTTCAGATTCCTTAAATTTCACAGGATTTTCTCGATGACCTGAATTATTTCTCTACTTTTCCAATGACTTTCTGTCCCACCTCTCTTGACACACTGGATATCGCAGTTACAGGGTGTAAAAAGCTATTCCGGCATCAATAGAGAATAGTCTCAAACTTCCTATTTACACTGATAATAAACAGCAAAGCTCAACCTAGAAGTGCCTGCACTGAACAAATAGAATTTTGCTACAGGAGAGCATGGCCTGCAGATGCTTTTGCCTCATGTCTTCCATATATGTAAGTGCTTGCCCCATGGATGAACTCACTGGTATTTACTATGAGCAGCTCACTGGACTATGGAAAATACAGTTCTCTCTACCGTATAGGATGAGAAAGTTGGGACTTAGGCTGAGAAAGTTGGAGCTGTTCAGCCTGGAGAAGAGAAGGCTGCCTGGGGACCTCATAGCAGCCTTCCAGTATCTGAAGGGGGCCTATAGGGATGCTGGGGAGGGACTCTTCATTAGGGACTGCAGTGACAGGATAAGGGGTAATGAGTTGAAACTTCAACAGGGGAAGTTTAGATTGGATATAAGAAAGTTCTTTACTGTGAGGCTGGTGAGGCACTGGAATGGGTTGACCAGGGAGGCTGTGAATGCTCCATCCCTGGCAGTGTTCAAGGCCAGGTTGGACGAAGCCTTGAGTGACATCGTCTAGGGTGAGGTGTCCCTGCCCATGGCAGGGGGGTTGGAACTTGATGATCTTAAGGTCCTTTCCCACCCTAACTCTTCTATGATTCTATTCTATGATTCTACTTCTGTGCCATAGAAATTTTTCATTTCAGGGTTTTTCCCAAGGCACATCCTATTGACTAGTCATCATCACTTAACTATTAGCAATATTCTCACAGGATAGCACGCAGTATACGGCAATGGTAGGGAAGGCAGCATATACTTTAAACTCACTAC